ATTATTACCATGCAGACGTCATGTAATATCTAGTACCCCTACATACTTTCCTCCATGTTTACAATGGCGTCAACCCAGTAATAATGTTCGGACGTCCACATAGGAGAGGAACTATATATATATATATATATATATAGAGCTTCAGTTGACGAATCCCTCAATAAAGCTTATTTGAGGGACACCCTTGTAGGGCCTTCTACGCATTGTATTTCAATGATCCGAACCGTCTAATTTCTAGATATTCCATCGAAGATCATTTTTCAAAAATCACTTGAATCCAAAACTATTTGACCACTCAATTATATAATTGTAGTATTTTCTTGAAGTACGGTGTTTGTCTATTTTGCTGGTCTCAACTAGTTGCCTTACCGATTTTCAATTTGCCTAATTTTTTGCAAGGATGATCTATGATTGAAGAATTTAAAAATAGACGGTTTGGATTGTTGAAAAGAAATCTATAGGGGATCCTAAAAGGTGTCTGTAACACCCCCGGCCCAATTTAACCATTTTATTCAATTTGATTCAATTTATTTAAATTGTGAAATTACAATTTGCCCTTGGGTAAGGGTCACATTAGTCACTTTTTGATCCATAAAATTTTTGGAATTTGAGTAGCATTGTTGTGTAAAGCTCATTGATACGAGTTCATAGACATGTAGTGGGCCCAAATTGGAGTTTTAACGAAGAAGTTACGATCAACGTAAATGTAATGGCACACCCATAATTTTTTCAAATTTGGATTTTTTTAAAACCAGGTCAGCCTTCTCTCTCTCTCCTCCCCTGACCCTTTCTCTCTCCGTCGCGCCATCTAGATTTTCCGACGTCGATTCTGGCGCCGTCTTGCCACCATTTTTGACGAAACAACTTGCAAAATCTTCCTTTCCTCCTCCTCTACCTGACCCAACCAATTTCTCTGGTAGAAAACCAGCCTAGCGCCACCAATTTCAAGGGGAAAAATAGGCCAAAACTGTCGTCAACGCCCGCGACAATTCTAGCCACCTCCAATCACGCCATCACTTGGATCAGGTAGCTCTCTCCTCTCTCTCTTGCTTTCCCCTGGGTTGCACAACACCATTGGTGGCTGTCGCTGCCGTTTGGAGGCCGAGAAGTTCCTGTCAAAATCGTACGGTTCCAGCTAGCTCCGGCCACTTTTTGGTCGTGGTCCAGAACTCCCCTTGTTAGTCTGAACGTGTTAGTGTAGGTATTGTTAGGTGTTTTGAGAATTTTTCATCGCCAGAATTTTCTCAAGACATCCACGAGCTGCCGATGAATGTGGTGGCTCGTGGGCCACTCGGTGACTGCCCATTTTATTCAAAAACACTCCCCATGTCGTCCCAAGTACGACAGTATGCTCGGATTCGAATTTGGTTATTGTATGACAGTCGAACAAATTTACGCCTATTAGGCGATATCCGGGTTCAATATGTTCGAACAGTTTGATCAGCTCCATTTCCAAGTATGTTGTTCTCTGTACCTCTATGATCGTGTAGGAACTCACGGATCGAGAATCAGAGTCCCGGATACTCCAAACCAATTATTCTAAGGTTATGTAAATCGGTGATCATCTAATCTTGCAATCGAGAGCGATCCGACAGCAAATTTAACGGCAAATTGGATGAAACGTTGATGATTTAGACGGCAGGGGTAACATTGAGAATAAAATTTAATTCGAGCCCTTGATTTACTAAAAAAAAGGTTAGGGGTAAATTGATAGTTATGTACAAGTTCAGGGGGCAATTCATCAGTTTTTTTTATTTTTATCGAACCCCCTTCCTACCTTTGGTATAGATCTATACATTTTTCATATTAAAATATATAATCCTTTGTTGGACAAAAACAGCTTATAAAATAAATCAAAATAATGTGGCAATTGTTGTAAAGAAAATGGTGGAGCCTACATAAAGAAAAGAATGAAATAATATTCAAAAATCTTAATGATAATGTTGGGTAAGCCATCCAATTTGCCTATAAATAGGCTCTCCATTGCTTAGCAAAATACACCAAAGGAGACGAGAGGAAAGAAAGGAAGAGAAGAAAGGAAGAGTGAGAGGAAACAAAAGAGAGTGAGTTCTATCTAAGAGGAAATTCTTTCAGTGTAAACATCACAAAAGCAAATACAATTCTACTCCCAATATTCAGTGGTACTTTTCATACTCTAATTATGCCAACGAGATTCTTGCTTATACTAAGAAAGTATTGAAGCATTTTTATGTGGATTATTCGATGGGCACTTAAATGATTTTAAAGGAAATATACGGGATCAGACATTGTATTTTCCAGATAGAGCTCAGCTCCATCACCACCACTTTGGGATGATGTGAGACATATTTGATGTCATCTCCGCATAAAACAATATACAGGCATATTCTTTTCAAGTGAACTTACAAATAGACTAGGTTTTTGTTTGATTCACGGACTCTAGAAATTTCTATGATTTACATAGAGATAGCTCACTGGAAATATATTTGCTTACTCAACTACATGAATTGTTGATGGCTACATCATTCACTTAGTCCGAAAGATCTTCCCTCTAGAAAGATAGTCATGAAGATATCAGGGGGAAATATTATTCATAGGAAGCATCCAACAATATTACAAGATTGACTCACAGAAGCAGTGTCAACTATGACATTCAGAAAGATGATCAATAGTATGGCTTAAAAGATATTTTGCCAAGCATCAGAGGGAGCGTGTTGTCAATAAAGATCTTCACACATTGTACTCTTTTTCTTTCGTCCAGGTTTTTATACCACTGAGTTTTTCCTAGTAAGGTTTTAATGAGGCAGTGCCGCACGCAAGTCAATATATACAAAATGTTATGTTACATATGATTATGTACTCTTTTTTCCCTTCGAACAGTTTTTTGTCCCATTGGGTTTTACTGGCAAGGTTTTTAACGAGGCATATTCCATACAATGTGGTCTCCAAGGAAGAGTGTTGTAAAAAAATAATGGAGTCCACATAAAGAAAAGAATTAAATAATATTCAAAAAGCTTAATGATGATGTTGGGTAAGCCATCCAATTTGTTTATAAATAGGCTTCCCATTGCTTAGCAAAATACACCAAAAGAGAAGAGAGGAAAGAAAGGAAACAAAAGAGAGTGAGTTCTATCTGAGAGAAAATTCTATCAATGTAAATATCACAAGAGCAAATACAATTCTATTCCCAGTGGTAGTTTTCATACTCTAATTATTTTATTTTTATAACAGCAATCACATCTGAAATTGTTGACTTTTTGTTGAGTGGACAGATAGGCCAAGCAAAGTCATCACCGAATTTAAGTCTCGCCGACATGAATTGGCAGTCAGCTGCTCATTGGTTTGGTGGGGCCAAATCGCCATGCAGAGGTCCCGTTCATCTACTGCATATATCATGAGCACCGCACCAAACTCCAAAAGAAGTTATTTTCCTTTGGGGTTTTGTTTATTTATTTAATACACGCAACATCGAAGTGGGGAGAATCCAGCTTATTATTACAGGTGTAAAAATAAAATATTTTTAATCACTTAAGTTATAAATTTCTTATTTTCTTTTTATTTAGTTTATACTCTAATTAGTAAATACATATATGGTATATGTAAAAAAAATTCTGAAAACTTTGTTCATTATATAATGTTTTAAAATTATTTTTATTTGAAATTTTTTAAATTTGTAGGCTTTTTTTTCAATAATACATGAATTATAATTGCATTATTAAAAGATATGTGAATTTTCTTGTATTAAACGAAAAAACATGCATGTATTTTTTACATGGGCACACAAGATCAAGGGCTGAACAAGGATGACTAGAATGCCAATAACAAACTACACTCGAGAGAACAGTGGAATAGATAGTAAAGAGGTGGAGAGTATTTGGTCTAACAAATTCTTGTTAGTTGCAAGAGTCATCAAAAGATCTTTTCAATTTAAGTCATCAAAGAAGTTTCGGTATGCCTAGAATGGGATAGCCTCCCTCCCCTAAAACTTTTCATAACCAGAAAGATCTCTTCAATTTAAGCTATCAACATGGTATATAACTTACTAAATATAAATAAACGAGATCCAAAATTCCAAATTTTGTTTTAATGTCCGTAGTATCAATTTTATCATATTTTTGTAACTAGCTGTTAACATATGTAATTAACCAAGCATGACCAATTTTAGCCCAAAAACAAATTAATAACCCCAATAACTCTCTAGAGCGACCAGCGAAGAAACTCTAGGTTTGGGGTTGGTTGTGCATCATTTGTAGAGCAAAGTGTTGATGTTTCTTTAGTTGGTGTTATACTCTGAGTTGTTTGGTTTTCTCTTGTAATTCTCATAAATTTTGCTGGGTGGTCTAGTTTCTCTAGGAGACTTATGTCGGTTAGCGGCCAGGTTTTGTCCTCGATGTAACTGACTTGATATAGGACAACTTAGACTGTAAATAGGGGATTTTTAGACAAGTTCTTTGTGATTTATTCTCCCCAGATCGTTTCAGCCCTAGAGCTGACTCTGGTCAATGAGGAAGCTTTACCCATGTCCATCATATCACTAATCAAGATAGCTCTCTATGTATTGTTTCAATTGATCTAATAAAATACTATCACTTGTTTGGTAAATAAATAAAAAATTAATAACGTATGGGTAATAATATGATTGGACCCAAGAACAAATTAAAAACCAACGCATGCAAGATCAACTGAGATAATTAATAGCAAAGAATATTGATTTACTAGATAGATTGAACAGAAAATTGAACAATTGAACACAAATCAATCCACCGATCCAGAACAGAACAACAAGGCATGGAAATGTCACATGACAACTTGCAAACAATCACTCGACCTTTCAATAATATCTACTTGGTAGCATAAACTTTCCCCCCACCAATAAAATTGAACTTGGACAAAGACAAGTGTGGTTTTAAGACTCATCACCTTCCCTCAATACGCAAAGTAACACACAAAGATCTGTCATTCACATATCCACATATCCACATATCCGCATATCCACTCTAATTTAGGTTTTACCTCTACATTCACATATCCTCCAGAACTTCCTCCTCGTCCTCGTATTCACCTTCCTCATCGGCAGTCGCATCCTGGTATTGCTGATACTCAGAGACGAGATCATTCATGTTGCTCTCTGCTTCAGTGAATTCCATTTCGTCCATTCCTTCGCCAGTGTACCAGTGCAAGAAGGCCTTCCTCCTGAACATGGCAGTAAATTGTTCGCTCACACGCCTAAACATTTCCTGGATGGAGGTCGAATTCCCGATGAATGTGGATGCCATGGATAGCCCTCTGGGTGGAATGTCACAAACGCTTGATTTCACATTGTTTGGTATCCACTCAACAAAGTAGGAAGAGTTCTTGTTCTGAACATTGATCATTTGTTCGTCCACCTCTTTAGTGCTCATCTTGCCCCTGAACATGGCTGAGGCAGTGAGGTATCGACCATGCCTGGGATCAGCAGCGCACATCATGTTCTTGGAATCCCACATCTGCTGGGTCAATTCTGGGACTGTTAGAGCTCGGTATTGCTGGGATCCACGGGAGGTCAGAGGCGCAAATCCAACCATGAAGAAGTGGAGACGAGGAAATGGGATCAAGTTGACAGCAAGTTTTCGGAGGTCAGAGTTGAGTTGACCAGGGAAGCGAAGGCAGCAAGTGACCCCACTCATGGTTGCAGAGATCAAGTGGTTCAGGTCACCAACTGCAGCAAAGTAATGCAACGAGATAAGCTAACATTTTAAGAATCAATAGAGCTATTTATTACAAAGTGGGTATGAAAATAACTAAAATATGCCGAAAATAAACTAGATCAATCCAAAAGAAAATTTCCATCAGAATCCAAAATCAGCATGAAGCTTTCCACATGCAGATACTAAACAGCAAAAATCATTTATCCACAATAATCCATCATCAATAAAAAAAATTCAACCAGGACAAAGATGTTGCACTCAGGGGCAAGATCACTGTCAATGTTCAACCCTAAGCAATGCATTTACAGATATCAATATATTTTAAGGATCAGAAAATGTGGTGAGCTAGAAGTAACCTTACATAGCTTAAAGGCATTCTACAGAGCAAATTGGACATGCAACCTAATTCATGATTGCATACAACATGGTCCCACATCAGCTGGAATGGTATGCATGACAACCCAAACAAACAACATTGTTTAACAAACCAGTAAAGTGGATATGTAACCTAATTCATGTGTGTCCTGTCACTCTTGCTTCTACAAGTAGCAACAAGAACCACCAAAGAAGTGATGTAACAATAAATATGCTAACACATTAACTGTAAGCTTGGAGCCCAGCATGTCACATGCAGCCTGACAAATCAGCAAGAAAACATCTTAATTGGGACCAAAAAGCTGAAATAAAGTACATTTCACAAACGTGAAAGAAAAATTAATGAAGTGATAAATCAGGATGCCGTAATTGTTAAGGATATATTTTACCCGGGAAAGCATACCAGAGTAGAACACTAATTCGCATCAGATACAAAATTGTCTATGAACATATTTATAGATTCGTAGAGATGCAAACTTTCGCTAAATAGATAAAGTACACAAGCAAATAATTTAAAGGAATAGATGCAGATAATGACAGTAAAAGCTTCGTGCTACTTACAACTAGGAGTAGTCAACTTGAGAGTCCTGAAGCAGATATCATATAATGCTTCATTATCCAACACCATGCACTCATCTGCATTCTCCACAAGCTGATGCACAGAAAGGGTAGCATTGTATGGCTCAACAACTGTATCAGAGACCTTTGGTGAAGGGAAAACAGAGAATGTAAGCATCATCCTGTCAGGGTACTCCTCCCTAATCTTCGAGATCAACAAGGTTCCCATTCCAGAACCAGTTCCTCCACCCAAGGAGTGGCAAACTTGAAAACCTACACAAAAGCAGGATTTCTTATGAGATATGACCAGTGTATCATATTCCTGATAAAATTTTGTGCAAATTTTCCTTCAACTTCAATGGATCATGAAATGCTAATCTCATCATCTACAATTGAAAACGACATTCCAGCTTTTTCTGTAAATGCATATAATTACAAAGAGATCAGTCACTCGAAACCATTCTAACCATTTAAACTGCCCGAAACCTTCAAAAGAAGGAAAATCCAATAATTTATTTTTTTTTTTTTTTTTTCTGCTTGCTACTTCGCCAATTTTGATTAATGCAACGTTAGTTTGATTATCGTCTCAGTTGCAACTTTGACAGCAGATCATGGCTCAAAAGTTGCAACTTTGATCAATAAAAAATTTTAAAATTTTAAAAAAAGCTAATCATCACACACATTTAACATACCTCATACTTCTACAAACAAACAACACCAAACAGCACACCAAAACACTATACCTTGAAGACAGTCACAGTTCTCAGCCTCCTTTCTCACAACATCAAGAACGGCATCAATAAGCTCTGCACCTTCAGTGTAGTGTCCTTTTGCCCAGTTGTTACCAGCACCAGACTGTCCGAAAACAAAGTTATCAGGCCTGAAGATCTGGCCATACGGACCAGTGCGAACACTGTCCATGGTCCCAGGTTCCAAGTCCATGAGCACAGCACGAGGAACAAACCGCCCACACGATGCTTCGTTGTAGTAGACATTGACACGCTCCAGCTGCACATCCTTGGTACCGACGTACCTACCAGTTGGATCTATGCCGTGCTCATCGCACACAACCTCCCAGAACTTGGAGCCAATCTGGTTGCCACATTGACCGCCCTGAACGTGAAGGATCTCTCTCATTTTTCACTTTTCTGAAATTCACAGCACAATCAGAATTGAAAATCGAAAAAATTGCTAAAGTAGGATGTGATATGAAAGCGAAAGTACGGAATTCAGTGGAATATCAATGAGAGTAACAAGCTACAAGAAATCAAATCACTTTAATAAGCAGAACTCTACTAAATCCCTAACCATGAATTACAAAGTGATGCGATGCAAAAATTTTACCGAACAAACTGAATTTAGCATTATTCTAAGCTATCAAGAGTTCATATCCAAATTTTCTGCGCAACTTCACTATATATCTATATATACAGAAAAAATTTCATAAGAAATGTGAATTTCTCTCATAATTGACATTGTTCGTGCAGTTTCTGCATATCTTATACTAAACCAGAGTAAATTACATGCCATACGTCAAAAAAATTAAAAAAATTAAAAGAAATAAAAGGACATTAGAACCGTATCATAGAACTGAAATGCAATTCAAAAACATCATGATTCGATATATCAGAAGCAAAATAAAGATGAAATTCAACCGAAAACACAGTAATTACACATTCAGTGAAACTCAATCAAATCGAAGTCAATGAAATTCAAAATTTGAGGCCTCAGAGAGTGAGAGAGTGAGAGATTACCAGTAACTTTGTCCAAGAAAATGTGAGATCTGATAGAGAAACAAGGTTGAAATGAGAGATTTGAGCGGAGAAGACGAACACTACAGAGGTTTATATACGCAAGTGAGGGCGAAGAGTGAGATCTGACGGTCTCTGTTGCTTCCCTTCATATTCATCCTAGAACCTTTGGATACCGTAAGATTCTAGGCTTGAACGGTCACGATGGGCTTTTCTGGCAATTATTATTCTCAGGGTGAGTTTTCATTTTTTAAATTTGAGTAGAAATTTTGGGGACAAATTTGCTCTTGATCGAAAAGACAGGACGGTCCTTAGCTAGTCAAATGAAGTTTGTTGGCGCCCCCCGCCAAAGAACAATATTCGATTGAAGTACAAGAGAAGGGTATAAATGTCATTTAGAAACGTATGGGTAAATTGGTCAATGACATTCAAAGAATCAGCTGAAACACATTGTCATAGTAGTCATCACATCAGCGTCTCTAATTTATTTTTTGCCAAAAAAATTAATTTCCAAACAGCAATGTAGAAAACCCAAACCATATAGGTAGGCGAGTGGAAAACAGACACTTTGATTTTGATTTTTTTTAATAAAATAGGAATTTTTAACCGCAATAAACCCTCAATTTGTACTCGAGTTCATTTTGATTCTCCAATTCTGTTGATAGTTTCAGACATTTTTCATCTGTGTCATTTGTGTCAATATGATCAACATAGCAATTTGCTCATTTTGTAAATACGGAAAAATTCAAGGACCATCGACTTACAGAAAATTCAAATAAAAAATCAAACTAATAAAATATATAATACTTGAATTCTCGATGTACATGCGACACAGTTGATTCTCATCCTTTAGACAGTGCAAGTGTAATAGGAGCATCCCTCGAGCAAAATAATTATTAAGCGCGTGGCTGAGTATTGAGGGAGCAAGAACAGGGACAAAAATTGGTCTGAAAAGCCTACAGCAGACCACATGAGAGAGTTTTGTAGACATGTGAAGTTGCCACTCTGCCAGCCAATTTGTAACTTTGTAAGCAGGAAAATTACAAATAAAAATAAGAAAAGAAAACAGAAGCTTATTTTATTTTTAACCCTGGTTAAAGCTTAACCCAAGTCTCTGGTTAATCTTGGTAATTGGTTTTAGATCAGATCTTAGGTGGACCGATGCTTGCTTGAGTTAGAGTCCAAGCATCTATTTCTGTGTCTTAAATCACATTCACAACCACCACTTGCCTTTTCAAGTTGGGAGGCTGATAAGTGACCCAAAAAGGAAATTAAAAATTAATCATTGCGGAAAAAAAAAAATTCAATGGAAGGATTTGGGGAAAAGGGTTATGGTGGATACTCACTCACACATCACAATTAAGAGCAAAATATATAATACATGGTTTAGTTCTACACCTGATTTAGAGACCATAGGTACGTTTATCTTATTGATTTAGGGTTAAGAAAAAGTGAAGCAGGCAAGAGTAGTTCAGAAACATTTGTGGGTTAACGGGAGGTAAAAACAGTAGCATTCTTACGAAATCTACTCATATACTTCTTTAATTCCTTACATGTTAATAAACGCATGAAAGGTCATGAATCGAAACAGTTTATATACTCATGTGTTAATAAATGCATGAAAACATACCCTTTCCAAATAAGTAAAAATGTCAAAAGTGTTCGTTTTAGGTTTTCAAATTTCTTATTTGTTGATAACAGTTTTTGGCAAGAAACAAATTGTTAACAAAATTATAATTGCTAATTTGGCAACATTAAGGTGGGATCATCATAAAATTGTTGGCTTATGATTTTCCATATCTTGTCATCGCGTCCTTATTTGCTAACTGCATATAGTTAGGTGTGTTTTCACGTTTTCTGCCAATCCATTAAACCACATCACATAGTTGCTTAGCAGAGAGTTAGCATGTTTTGTATGTGGATGGCCCACAACTATTAGGATGAAGACTTTCATGTATTGTAGGTGAAATAGTTTTCATATTTACAGCAGGCAGTTGATCTTCACATGCTCATAGTTAATGTTTTGCTACGTAACTTCCCTTTACAAAGGGAAATCCAAAGTGAAAAGTGAGAGACACCTCCAGAGAAAAAGAAAGTGAGAGTCAGTGCAGAGAAGGAAGAAAAAGGATAATAAAAGGAGAGAAAAATAGTGAGCCAGTTTGAGTGTAAATACCAAAGTTGTATTCCTTTTGTAGCCTTATTATTTTACATAGTGAAAATGGTTACTTCTACTGCTCTTCGGGGACGTAGGCACGACTTGTCGAACCTCGTTAAATATTATGTCTCATTTACTTTACGTGCATCATTTGTATTCCAACACCATTCGTTTTACAACACGTTATTAACACAAATACTCTTCCAAAACCAGTTTAGTCCTCTCTGTTTTCTTATCTCTTTCATTTATTATATTATTATATATGACATTCAATGTTCATATTGACCATCCAAAGGGTGTAGGTGCGTTGGAAATTTGTGCTGGTGGTAGGTGGAAAAGCAATTAAGGGGCAAGTGTGATACATGCACAAAATCACTTTCTTTGCTTCTCTGACAATAAATACTAACATATATGTAAGTGGAAAACAGGAAATGCATCCTTTCATAATATAATATAAATAAACGTAGATATATAATCTTATGGATTACCAAAATAAGACATACAACTATTTTATTACTGCACTTTACATTTATTGCTGTAAATTGAATGGACAGTTTTACCGCCTAATATTTTGGGTGGTGCGTTATTATCCCTCCTCACTTACTTTTATACTGTGGGTGGCGCGTTATTATCCCTCTGCACTTTCTTTTATTTACAGTATAGCGTAGATTCATTATCCATACAACAATATTTACTTTTATTTACTGTATGGTATAAAATTTTAATGTCCATATATTGTATTTATTTTTATTTAAAGCATGGAGCATAATTATGCCCATACAAGCACATTTAATTTATGAATTTATTGTATCGTACATTTACTTTTATTTAAAGTATAGTGCAGAATTAAAGCTCATACAACAAACAATTTATTTTATGAATTATTTGACAAGTGTATTATGATGAGTTTTAAACCTCCAAAGATCATGACTAGAAGTTCATTGATCCTCATCATACAACTACATCGGGACCTAAAGATCCTTGATGATGAAATCATGTGAGAACTAGCAGACTCTCTAGTACTATATTCGTGAAAAGTGATCGAACCTGGAGATATTTGATCCTTGACATATAAATCAAGACCTGAAGCTTTTTGATAATGTACTAATACTTTATTAATGAATAGTGTTGTACACATGAATAATAACTATACCGGCAAATGTACTGCACATATGAATAGCACCACATGCATGAATTAATGAATAGAACCATATACATAAACAATACCGTATACATGAATAGTAACCGTATGCATAAATAGTGTCATCTACATGAATACTAACCCTTTTGGTGCACTGTTGCTATGTACCTAAAGGGACTTGCAATTCCCTAAACTCATGGATAAGCAATTAAATGAGAGACTAGAAGTCCCTTAGAATATGGTTGATTAAGTGAGGGCCTGAAGTTCCAAAATATGAACCTGAAGTTCTAAGACCATATCATGAGAATATATAATTTTTGCAATAAAGATCAAAATTTAAACAGTGTTAAGAACATGAAGTTCTAACATTAAGTGGACAATCCTTGTGGTAATATTGCTAGCTATGGCACACCACATGTTTCTTTGGCATAAGAAAATGATGAACTTGGCAAAGCTCGATTTATTACAATCGATACCTCAAGAGAGAACTACATTTTATGAGTTATGGTTCCTAAAGATTCATCTTATAGTGAATCATAATAGGACAACCCTCAAAGGATGAATTGAGGCTCCCCATATTTTGTTATATAATATGATCTAGGCATGAACCCCATGGATCTCAACTTGTCATAAATCCAAGACTTGAAGTTTTGGGTTGCAGTATTATTATGGCTCTTCCTTAATTTATATTTCATACTCATTTTGAAAAAGGCAATTAAAATTCTGAGGTTGTGTTTAACCCGAGCCAGAAGTTCCAAACACACATGCATTGAAATATATAATTTGAGAGATTTAATGTGGTTATTTGTACCTATCAGGCAAAAGGTTCCAAACTGTCATTTTGAAAGGACGTAAAAACCACAAATGAGAGTTTAAGACTTTGCCCAATTATTATAACAGGAAAAGAGCATACAACAGATAGATTCTTTTCACCTACAATAAATAAGTAGGCTTTATAAAATCTATCAAGTTCCATTCGGGTGAAGGAGAAAGGCTCCTCTTGACCTTAACCATGAGCCTCTCTTGGTCTTCCAGAATCTTTTCATTAGAACTCTGCAACATATCAAGCTTTGTCTGCATATCCTTATAGTATAAACCCACCAATTTTGACAAAGCTTTATTCTCCTATTTAAGGTTTTCAACCTATTGCTGAGAGTCCTAAAGCATTCTATGAATAGTAGAATTTTGGGTGTTTAGTTCCTGAATCTTGTTTACTCTAGCAAGCAAACGACGAGCTAGGTTGGAGACAGAAGCAACGCTCTGAATGCGAAAAGCCATAGAGTCATCAGCAACCTCTTCATCATACCTTCCTTTTAATAATATTTCATCCATAGGAACAAGAAAATTCCTAGCTATTACAGTAGCCATTGTTTCATTCATATCACATAATCATTAACCGTGAGATGACGGTTTTGGGACATAAAGGATGGATGCCAGACTTTGGCATCACGTGTTGTTTTAGGAGCAACATTTAAATTGAAACATTTTGAGTGAGAAGAAGAGTAAGCCATTTTAAAGAGTTTCGAGAAAAGAGTTGGAAAAATTGAACTTTCAGAAAATGGAAGGAAATAGAGTTGAAACACAAATACTCCAATCATGTCTTACATATATATAGGCGGAAATGTGGCAAAATTTCCCACCCAATTCCCATATTTCCCTTTTCCCAAATTTAAACTTCACGTTGCATTCATTAAGGTTTATCAGCGGTTCAGTGATCTTAAGGACGATTTTTGTCAATCAAATCTTATCTTTGCGGATTTCAAGGAGACTATTTTTCAAACGTGTCTTGGGAATCTCAAAAGTTACTGTGGTTAATTTGAGATTCATCATTTCAAACTATTCCCATATCGTATGTATAAATATGTTACTAACAAAATTCTTTGCAGAACAGATCCAACTTTCTTCTTATCGAGGGATGCAATAACAACTTGTTTTTCCTATAAGTGAACACTTGATGTGCTCGAGAAACGAGGCTATCCCTTATCACTCCTCCTATAATCGCAAGGGACTCTAGGGCAATCAAGAAGAAGCACATCCCTCTTAATCCCTGAATTCCACCATTGTATGAAGAGATGGAAGACCATAATCCGAATACACCACATGCTATCTTTCCTGATTGCTTACTTATACCTTGCAATCAAAATAATTTTTTTTAGTTATTTTCTTTCTTTTGACAACTCTTGGTTTCAAGGAGCAAGAGCCTCTAACTAAGAGCATTTTCTACCACACATTATGTGTTTTTATAACCTTCATCTGAAGAACAAATCCCAAAAAAAGATGAAATTAGGCAGATACACATGTCTACTAATCGAGCATGACCATTTGAATTTTTTTTTATAGAGGCAAAAGAATTGTGGTTTTTGTGTAGGATATAACTAGGTCATCAAGTGTTCAATTATATTTGTTAAGCAAATCCGAGCTTGAAGAATATTTGAGCAAAGTTTTCCCTTACAAAAGGATGTAAGCAATACTTGTATTATTAATCCTATTAGTCTTATATATTAATAGGTGAAAGCTTTTGTAACTCATCTTCGATGATGATAAAGTAGGGAGATAAGATTGTTCCATAAGAACATCATACAAAGGACCATTCCAGAAGAATGGCTTGCATTATAGATCATTCCAGAAGAACGACTAGTATTATGACCAGTCTAGAAGAATGGCTTGTATCATCATTATATGACCAGTCCAAATAATTCATCTTAGAAGAGATGTCTATCTTGGAAGAGACAATGAAAGCCCCTAAAGTGTCTTTTGGGTATGCAAAAGCAATTAAATGCTTATAATTTATGCATACGCATGCGCTTGAGAATGGTGGGATCATGAATTGATGAATGATAATTTTTTATTTTAAAGTAGCTATTACAATTATCAATGGTCTGTGTTGAATGGAAGTACGTTCTACCATTAAATGTCGACAAAATCATTGACCAAAATGAAAAGAGGTAATTCTATTACAGATGAGAATGGACGTGAAAACACAAACCCATAGTAGGAACCCCAAAAGATGTTGACCCCTAAAAGTTATACATGGGTGTTCAAAACATATTGGAATACACTTACTTTATATGACACAACGTTTTCGGAAGAAACAAGGAAATATGAGGTTCTTCATGTTTACAGATGCTTATTGCACATTTACGGAGACCAACATACTATCTTTAAGGGTATTAAATGCGTTGGAGCATATCGTCAGAAGTGATTCCCTACAAATGTATAAGAAGAATAAATATTTGGGTATAAAGCTATATAATGTGTCATGAAATGTAATATCTTAAATAAAATCTTTGTAAGATTAAAATAGCATGAAGCTTAAAGGACAAGTGCCTATAGCACAAATTTTGTACTCAATACTAGTATGCATAAATTGCCTCAGTGAATATTTTCATTATGATGTGGTTACAACACACTAAAACTCCAGAAGAGTTGATATTTGATTAAAACTCTAGAAGAGTTTATATATGATTAAAACTTCAGAAGAGTTAATACTTGATCAAAACTCCTGAAGAGTTAATATCTGATTAAAACTCCTGAAGAGTTTAAGAAATATTTGTCTCAACCTGAAGATTGAGCATTATGCCATTGAGATTCTTACCCACCAATCAGCTTATACTAAGAAAGTATTAAAGCACTTTTATATGGATTATCCTTTGGGCACTTAAATGATTTTCCAATAGTATACTAGACCGAACATTGTATTTTCAGATAAAGCTCAGCTCCATCACCATTACTTTGGGGTGATGTAGTGCATATTTGATACTACCTCTGCAAAATAACATATACGGGCTTATTCTATTCAAGTAAACTTACAAATAGCCCAAGGTTTGTTGGAGACGTGGACTCTGGAAATTTCTCTGATTTGCATAGAGATCGCTCATTGGAAATGTATTTACTTATAGAGATATATCGATCTCATGTAACTCAACTAAGGAGTTTTTGGTGGTCACATCCTCAACTCACTCCAAAAGATTTTCCCTCCAGAAAGATAATCATGAAGATATCATGGGGAGATATTCATCAGGGGGAGCATCCAGAAGTATGCTACACTGGACATGTTATTGTTACACTCTTGTTCGCTCCAACCAATTTTCTACCTCACTAAATTTTATCATAGCAAGATTTTAATGAGGCAACCAATCAAGGGACTTGTGGGCATCCAAGGAGGAGTGTTATAAATATGTGGATGGCCCACAACTACTGGCATGAAGACTTTCATGTATTATAGGTGAAATAGTTTTCACATTTACAGCAGGTAGTTGATCTTCACATGCTCATAGTTAATGTTGTGCTATGTAACTTCCCTATATAAAAGGAACGATTGTTTCAAGTTTTACAGACAAATCAGAAGTGAAAAGTGAGAGACACATCCAGAGGAAAAGAAAGTGAGAGCCAATGTAGAGAAGGAAGAAAGATGATAGTGAGAGGAGAGAAAAGAGAGCAAAGAAAAATTCTCCAATATATTTTTTTTATTTTAAAAAGAGCTAGTGTGAGTGTAAACACCAAAATTATATTCCTTTTGTAACCCTATTATTTTACATAGTGAAAATGGTTACTACTGCTGCTCTCCAGGGACGTAGGCACAACTTGCCGAATCTCGTTAAATATTATGTCTCATTTACTTTATGTGCGGCCTTTATATTCCAGCAGCGTTCGTTTTACAGCATTAAATATTAGGTCCTTTTGAAAAACAAACAACATGGAAAAATGTTTCATGTATATAAGTGACACCACGGCCCTAAATGATTCGTGTATTTTTCAAAGAGTAGATCATGACTGTTTTTGACATGAGAGAATTGTACTCATAGAGTAATTTTTATTTTGCCTTGTAAAGAAAATCAAAAGTACATCTAAAATGTCATAAAATTTCATGCTTTAAATTCTAAATGACAAGGGTATAGGAACAAGAAAATTTATATATATAGTGGATGAGTATGTTCCTCAATGAAAGTCTTAACTACAAAATTGAACCCATCATAAACTACTGTCAACTTTGCTTTGCAATTTTCACGAACATTACCTCGTTCTCTTTCTATTTGTGTAGACTCACTGTCTTTTTTTTTCCTCCACGTCTCATCTGTTTCACCTTCCTTAAAACAAACGTATCGTTTCCAAAAAACCTCACTTTTTTCTTTCTTTTTCTTCTCCTTACTAATCTTGACACTAAATCCAGCATCCTTTGCGTAATCATTATAGAACTTGTATGTTTCATCCAATGACTTGAATGCTAGCCCTGCTTTCGGTTTTTTTTCATCTCTAACTTGAGGGATATAAAATTCATCTTTAGAAGGCATCCATTCATCTAATGCATTTGCCATCACTCCTGCACTTAAATGTATAATAAGAAAATTAGTACAAACATATGTAATAAACAAAGAAAAAACTCGAATGGAAGAAATAAATAAATAAAGGTCTGGAAAAGGAAAAAAAAAAATCAGATTTTCACAATCATTAACAAACAGCATAGTTGCAAGAACCCCATATTGAGATTCACGTTTGACAAAGGAAAAACTCGAATGGAAGAACCTTAGATTCCACAACCATTCCGTACCAACATGGTCCCAAACATGACTACCCCCTTGCTTAGTTACTAAATTGGCAATAGCATGTGCTGCCTTATTACAAAGACGAGGAGCAAAAGTCAAGAGAACCTTGTTAAATTGGGTAACACAATGTTGAATATAAAAAAAGGATACCTCCAATGTTTGCATTAGGTTCACGCTCACCATTTAGCATCGCTAAACACTGTTGCGCATCAGATTCCACAACCACATCCCAACAACGCATATGATAACATACCATCAAAGCAGCTCGGTTTGCCAGAGCTTCTACCATAAGTGTGGAGGAGCCGTGTAGTCCACCCTCACCACCTGCTCCTATCAAGAGCCCAAAATTATCTCTAAGAACCCATGCTACACCTCCTCGTTGGGACTGCGCCATCCAAGCAACGTCGCAATTTATTTTGACCATACCAATTGGCGGTTTGTGCCATCAGACGTGCAGGGAAGGAGTAACGCAGGCCAAATTTGTGGAAGGTGGTTGATCATTGCGTTGTACGTCTTGGAACTCAGCTACTTAATTTAGCAGACAACGAACCGCCTCTGCCAGAGCCATTACAGTCCCTTCAAATACAGCGAGGTTGCAACACTTCTATAGTCACCAAAGTCCAAAGGCAAACATTTTTATCACCTCATGAACCCTTTCAATACCCTTGACATAGTCTACCACAAACTACCAAATCAAGAAAAAGTCATCTCCTTCCAACCGATGAACATCCAACTGAAGCGGGCATGCGAACCAAAATACACGTGCAAACTCACATTTAAAGAACAAGTGAACCTCTGTCTCCTCATGCAAGCTACAGAGTTTACATTCTCATGTGCAAGGAATCTTCCTCTTCCTCAGATTATTCCATAAAGCCAAGGCGTTCCTGCTACACCGCTACACAAAGGCCCGAATCTTAGGTCGAGCCACCAGACTCGACAAGGTAGGCCAGACATCATTCCTTCCATGGGTGCTGCTCATCTCCCCTCCTCCCTTGTGACCCAGTTCCCCATTACATTGTAAATGACGGGCCAGTTCATAACTGGACTTCACCACATATCCCTCATGCTTGCTAAAATGCCATATAAGTTTATTAGGGCAACCCCATCTACTAATGGTTATACTCAAAATGTGCTTAGCCTCATCCGGATTAAAACACAGCCTAATGACGTCCTCCCTCCATTGCTTCGTAGTATGGTCAATAAGCTCATCCATCTTTCTTGGCATATCTGGGTATCGTGATAGCGGCCAAAAGGTATGCGGGGTAGGGAGCCACGAGTCTTCGCAATCCAGCTTCCAAAATTCATCTTCCTTAGAAAATGCCTTTCCAGCCCCACAACGAAAGTTTACTATCACGCCCCAAACCGAGGGTCGGTGGAAACCCCGAGCTCGGTGCGTGAGAAAATAAAAAGTGAAATAAAATAAAACGAAAAAAGCCAAAACATGGGTTTAAAATAAACTTTTCTTATATAGCTCCAAAATCTTACAACTTTATAGGAAATAAATAATACAAATTTATAAATAAAGCTCTATTACTCTCATCTAATTCAACCTCAACTGGTTTAGTTCTTGTCTTGCCCACTAATTCATCTGAAAAATTAAACAGGGTGAAGGATGAGCAACCACCTTTCAGTAGGGACATGAGACCTTACCATAATAAATTGATATAACTAAATTAAGTGACATGCAATCACACAGCCAAATATCACATTAATAATAATACATGAATGAATGCCCTTCATCTACTCCCATTAATTCATATAAATGGACAAGCAGACTTGCACGTCCCATACCATGCTTATACCGCTTGGTCTTGAATGTCCATTTATATGAACTAACACTCATTTCAATCATTCCATAATTCCCATTTTGTTAGTCATCTTGTCTAACTCCCTGTCACCAGTCCCGAATCACCCAATAAAAATCATGTGTACCGTGGGATCCCTGAGACCTAGTACATGCTAAGAGTTAGACTCAACTATACAAAAGATCCTTCCAATTATCCTCTTTTCCACCATTATTTTCTCAACCCAAGAACTCCAAATAATTATAGTATCACGCATAATATAGTTCTCACGAAATTTAATTAGATCAATCCCTGTAAAGGCCCCCAAGAAACCCCTACCTTGACACCAAAGCTTTTGCTAGAAATGTAAGGTGTTTTTCCAATTTTCCACCGCATCCACAAACTCAGTATCCCACTCTTTTTCTTAACAATTCTTCTTCTCTCTAAATTTCTTTCTAATTCCTCATGTTTTAAAAGGATAAGAACATCCAAATTTATCCAAAAGATAAATATCTTAACAAGAAAAGATCATCCAAGTTTATTCAAAAGATAAATATCTTAAAAAGATAATATCAACCAAGTTTATCCAAATGATAAATATCTTATTTTATCCGTTTAAAATACAGGTCTTCACATTTACCACATTGTGCATTGAGGAAAGTATTACCCGCAAAATACTTATCATGTAGCACTCTTGCTAATAGTGACTCCGGGTTGTGTAAGATACGTCATCCAATCTTAGCCAGTAAAGCTAAATTAAAGAATCGGAGCTCACGAAAACCAAGCCCTCCCTCCTTCTTTAGCTACGTCAATTTCTCCTAACTGACCCAGTGGATCCCTTGTCTCTCATTTTGAGTTTTCCACCAAAACCGTGCTATGGCACTATCGGTTTCTTTACACAGAGTCACCGGCAACGTAAAGCAAGACATTGCAAAGTAGCGCAAGGCCATTGCTACAACTTTAATAAGGACCTCCTTTCCCACTGGCGACAAGAATTGCTCTGCCCATCCATGTAGCTGGCTATCCAACTTCCTCCGTACATTGTTAAAGACTTTTTTCTTCGAGGCCCTAAAATCTGTTGTGATACCCAAGTAGCGTCCAAGCTCATTCCGGCTCGAAACCTTCAGGATGGCCTCCATTTGATTTCGTAATCTACCAGGACAAGTCTGACTATAATATATTTAGCTCTTATCAAAATTCAAGCCCTGCCCAGAGCCCGCTTAGTAGCAATTTAGTGTCTGAAGGAGACAAGATCCCTCCCTCTCATCAGCTCTGCAAAATACAACTGAGTCATCTGCACACAGTAGATGACTGATACACACCCTCATTGCCGCACCTGGAAGCCGTGCAAGGCTTGTCGAACTTCATAGGAGTTTATCAACGCTGTCAGACTTCAGCACAGATAAGAAATAAGAATGAGGACAGGGCATCTCCTTGGCGTAATCCTTTCGTAGGGAGAACATGACATGTGGCTACACCATTAATCAGGACGTTATACAACACAGTAGATATACACTCCATCACCAAAGTACAAAAATATTAGGGAAATCCAAGATTGTCCATCATAGCCAATAAGAAAGGCCATTCGACACGATCATATAGCTTTAGCTAATTTATCCTAATTTCACAGCCATGTTGCCCCCCCCCCCCCCCCCCCCCCCCCCTCTCCCCCCCGACTGCCTTAGCTGAAGAGAGTGTAAAATTTCATGCACAACTAGAATATTATCCATAATCCATCACTTTGCCACAAAGGAAAATTGGTTGAAACTAACAATTTGGGGCATCACTTTCTTGAGTCTATAGGTGAGAATCTTCGAAATGATTTTATACACTACATTGCACAGAGAGATCAGTCGCCTTCATGTTAGGTAGGCTAGACACCTTGGGTATTAAGGTAATATGAGTGCGGTTGAGTCTTTTAGGTAAGCGTCCCGAGTGAAAAAAACTCTTCACCAATTTAAACACATCATCACCCACCACTTGCTAATAATGTTGAAAGAAACCCCTGTGAAACCGTCAGGCCCAAGAGATTTTGAAGGGTTCATATGCTTCACTAATTCAAAGACTTCCTCTGGAGTAACCAGCAATAAAAGGCTGGTCCCCTCTGCCTCAATGATATGAGGCTCCATACACCCCACAATTTTCAATATACTTGTAGGGAGACAAGAGGTGAATATGTCACGAAAATATGAGCCTGCAATCCGATGAATATCTGCTTCTCGTTCCATCCATACTTCGTCCCAATCTTCCAGCCCCCGTATATGGTTTTGTCACCGTCTGGTTACCATCTTGGAATGGAAAAAGCTGGTATTTTTCTCTCCCTCATTCAACCATTATACTCGAGACTTTTGTTTCCAAAACATCTCTTCCTCCATTAAAGCCTCTTTAAGCTCATTTTCAAGGGCCCTCAAATGGCCTTCATCGAAGGTGGAAGCCTAATAAGCATGTCTTCGTTGATCATGCACCCTCTCAGTATGTACCTTTGAATTGCGTCCCTCACTCTTCCTCCATTGTATAATCCCTTGTCGTACCCACCCCAACTTGCCAAATATTCGGTCCCCCATTGACCCTTGAACCCATTTTTGCCAACGCTCCTCTACTAATTCCTTGCACCGCTCCTCCTTGCCCCACTGCAAATCATACACAAAATGACCCTTCCACCTAGTATGGGTGGGATGAACTATGAGTAGTAAAGCTGTGTGATCAAAACCCGACAAAATTTGGTGCGTCACCCTCGCCTCTGGGTACAGTTCCAGCCACTTCTCCAAGGTTAAACCTCTATCCAATCTCTCTTGGATCAGCCCACTCTCTCTTCTGTTCCGCCAAGTAAAAGGATATCCATCAAAGCCAAGGTCCATGAGCATAAAATCCGAAACAAACTCACGAAAGGCCGCCATACTTCGCTCATCCCTTGGGTTGCCCCCTGCCTTCTCCGAACTATCTAGGATATCATTAAAATCGCCCACAACTATACATGGTTCATTATATCGAAGAATCCGCTCATTAAGGGTATGCCATTGTCTGTGATGAACCCTTTCATCCGTCCTGGCATAGACAGTCAATAGACGCCAAACCATCTCTGGATGATCAACTAGCTAAATTGGTAGCAACAACTCAATCATTCATCGAGAGCAACAATCAAAGATTTCAAAATGTTGAAGCATCAATTAAAAGTTTGGAGCAACAATTTGGACAGCTAGCTGCACAGATTTCAGATAAAGAAAAAGGAAAATTTCCTAGTCAAACAATTCCTAATCCAAATGGATGTGAAGATTGCAACTTTGTTCGGACTTTACAATGTGGAAAAAGCTATGACAATCGGAAAAATAGCATTGAAAATGAGCAGCAACTAGTGGCGGATAATACAAAAATTTTTACAGTAGCAGAACTTGCCAAAACTGCAGACAAACATATCCTGGCAGATTTTGAAATTGTCCCTAAACAGGTTTTACAGCGTGTTTATGACCCTCCATTACCCTATCCTGAACGTTTGAAGCCTAAAGCGAAGGACCAGAAACTCAAAGACTTTATGTAGACACTATCCAAGGTTCAAATCGACATTCCATTATTGGATGCAATCAAGAAAATTCCATCATATGCCAAATTTTTTAAAGAAGTTTGCAGCAGCAAAAAGAAACTTGCAGATTTGAACAAAGTCGTTTTGACAGAACAATGCAGCGCAATTTTGCTACACAAACTGCCACCTAAGAAAAAAGATCCAGGGAGTTTTAATATTTCTTGCACTATTGGAAATTCTAATTTTAAAAGTGCTTTAATTGATTTGGGTGCAAGTATTAATTTGATGCCTTTTTCTGTTTTCCATCGATTTAAAGCCTACATCAATGATACTTCAACTAGCTGACCGTTCAATTACTTATCCAAGAGGTGTTATTGAAGATCTAATTATAAAGGTTGATAATATTTATCTACCAGCAGATTTTGTGGTTCTAGACATGGACAAAGACCTTCAAACACCTATTATTTTGTGGTTCTAGACATGGACAAAGACCTTCAAACACCGTTTATGGCAACAGCTAGGACTTTAATCGATGTGGAAGCTGGAACATTGACTCTAAGGGTTCAGGACCAATCTGTGGTGTTTAATTTGTTTGAGGCAGCAAAACGTCCTGCTGAACAGCAAGAATGTATGCGCATTGACATGGTAGACAGTATGGTTCAAGACAGTTTTTATGCCAATTCAAATACAGGTCAATCTGATAAACTGATTGCTGGGAAAAAGTGAAAATTGCAGTTCAATAAGCTAGAGGAAATTCGTCAGGGTGCTTATGACAGTTCTCGCATCTACAAGGAAAGAACTAAGACATTTCATGACAGCCAAATTTTAAGGAAGGAATTTCGGCCAAGACAATAGGTTCTGTTATCCAATTCAAGGCTCAAGTTATTTCCAGGGAAATTAAAATCTCGCTGGACTGGACCATACCTGGTGACTCAAGTTTTTTCTCATGGGGCAGTTGAAATAACTAATGAGGCTAAGGGAAACGCATTCAAGGTGAATGGTCACATGCTGAAACCCTATGTGGAGACACCCTTTGACACTGCAAACGAGTCTTTGACTCTGAAGGAACCAGTGATTTGACCACCAAGCTTCTGCAATGTCTAGCTACATACTTAAAATAAAGCGCTTATTGGGAGGCAACCCAATTTTTCTAAACTCTTTACTTCTTCTATTTTCAACTAAAACAAAACAAAACAAAAAACAATTTTTGTTGCTGTTTTCTTTATCTAGTTGTTTTTTTTTATTTCTACTCCTAACACATCATTGATTCAATGCAAGATAAAACAATCAGCAGCAAACATCAAAAGCAAAAAAATCTTAGGCTAGAATCCTACACCCACTGGAATCATGCACCCAGCAGCAAGTCTACCAAATCTCCAACAACAAAACTTGCAGGGATTCAATATTATACCTCCTCCCAACTTGAAGATTGACTTGCTCGCTGGAATCCGTTAATCTCCACGCATTATTTCCAAGGTTGATGCAACTCTCAAATTGAAGCAGATGACAACAAATGTGGATGAGTATCTCAAGACAAGGAAACAAAGTCTACATTAATCACTCTTATTCTTAATTACTTTCAACACAAAAATACCCAAAATTGAGACTCAGTTACAAGCAAAACGCGAAGCTTACCGTTAACCAAGCTCAGGAACTTCGAGTGCATATGGTGTTGGGGTTGCACTCAGTCTGGGTCAGCTCATCTGAGTCGTTGGGGTCGGAGTTGGGATGGATCTCAGTGAGGATCTGATTGGTCTCTTCGACGAAGCCGTAATGGATGGTGATTTTGATTTTGTTGAAGGTCTTCTGGATCTGGCACCCTCACACTGATAAACCCACCCACATGACTGTTCTACAAGGGAGCCACGACTTTTGAGTTCTTGAGGAAATGACGAAGGAGAGGGCGGAGATGGATGGGTTTAAACTGAGAGAAGGAAATGTGTTTTTCTTCTTTAAAATCGAAGATGGGAATGGCCAAAGGCGAGCCTGGTGGCTCTGGGCTTGGGGTGAGACGAAGGGGATCCAATATTTTTCAAATGACATCATCCAATATTGTAGCTGTTGCTTCGATATGACACAAATGTGGACTTGTATGAGTTGGTTAGCGCCTCTTTGCAAGATCCCAGCTCCTTAGTCCTGCTTCGAATCCCCAAGGTGTCTCATTTCTAGGTATTTTCTTTCTTATTTTATTTTATTTTATTGTTATTCTTTTTTGCTTTCCCAGTTTTTTTTCCTAGAGTTTTTCTTTCTTTTTTATTTCCATTTTCTAGGATTCAGTTGTTTGGTATGCTCTTGTTTCTTCTGATTATTTACCACACCTTGAGGACAATGTGTGATTTAAGTTTGGGGGTGGGAAAGTAAATTTTAGATTTTTAAATTTTTTTTTAGTCTTGTCTAAATTTTTCATTTTTTAGTTAATATCTGTAGATTATTTTAAACATTAGAACAAATGGACATGGTGAAGATCAATCCCACAGTAGAGTCTTTTCTATTTATTGTTGCTTATACACTAATTCATGAATTATACTTTGAAATTTGCACATCACACTAACATGGTTTGTGGGGAGTGAGATTGAAATACTTACTGTTTGTCCCAGTGTGTTTTAATTTTTGTTTGAAAAAAAAATTTAATTTTTTTTAAAAAAAAAGTTAGTGTGTGTTATAAAGTAATAATTGCCTCACCTGAAGCTTTGCTAGTAACTGTGCCAGTCCTGCCTAATCAGCAGTGATTCTTGAGTCAAACGGTAGAGTTTTGGCATGAGGCAGTGTGGTTAGTTGGTTTCGTAGCCTTTTCAGGTTGAGTTAATAAGTCCTTAGGGGTGTTCTACACCTAGTTCCCTAAAGCCTTAGTGGTTTGGGAGTCATTGACCTAAAGCTCGCTACATGGGTTGGATCGAAAGCTTAAGGGAACTGACATTGCACAACCACTACTGTTACTGGAAAAAAAAGTGTGGTAAATAAAAATAAAAATTAAGGGTGAAGTGTGTGAAGTATGAATAAAAGGGATGAGAGGTAAGGGTTTTAGTCGAGTCTCCTTAACTATAATGGTTCACTTTACACCGAAGGAAGTTTGTGGATTCTTTTCTAATTAATTCTAAATAGCTTAGACTCTGTGGTGGGATTACTTGGATCTATTGAAAAGATGTTCCAGTTTTTAAAATTTCCTATGGATTGCAACTTGAAGGTGGAAATTTTGTCTTGGTTAAGTGTTAGCCAGATGTCTAGTCTGTTATGTTTTTAGTTTTGTTTGAGTCTTGTTTTGCTTGAGGACAAGCAAAAGAGCTAAGTTTGGGGGTATTTTGATGAGTCGATTTTATATTATATATTTAACCCTATTCTTAGTATATTTTGGTTCATATTTTGGAAGAATTTTGATACTTTGAATTATATTTCCAATATAGGACTGTCGACTTCCTCTGGAGAAAAACATAATCAAATGGACGAATTTTGGAGTAATTCCAGTTGGAGGACGTACGTGACTCACTTAGCTTGATTGTATCAAAATATCAGGCTTTTCCACCAAGCGATGATTTCCTGGTGAATAAATGAAGGAGCGATGTGCATTGCTGAAATAGTGACGTTTTGGGCTTGTATTGCATTTTTGGAGCCCAAGCTGACCTCGGATGGGTTTGTGGCCTTCTGGAGAAGTGTTTGGAATATTTTTATCTTTAAAACGAGCTATCTTGGGCTAGATTTGGAGGAGATTTGAGACCAAAACGTGGCTGGGCAGATTGTGGGCAGATTCTCCTAATCCAATTTGGACTTTATGTCGTAGTCTTATTTTATTTTAACTTAGTTTTCTTGTGGGGATTGGGTAGCTAGGTTTTATGAGGTATTTAAGCTCCTTTTCACAGCAATTTAGGAACCCTCCTTTTAACTTCTTTTTGGCTTTTGGAGCAATTGCTAGGGTTTTGGATTTTCACGACTTTCAGGTGTTTTTGTTCTTTTCTTCTTAATGATATTTTCTTGGATTTCAATTATGAATATGCGTAACTAATTCTCTTTTGCTAGGGTGAAGCCTTGAACCTTAGTCATATATGTGATTTTTATTTAATTGCTTATGATTGAGTGCATGCCTACTTTGAATTGTTAATCACTGTTTTAAACTATCTAATTGTCTTAATGCCTGATCACCATTAGGATCTTTAGAAAAGTAATTGGGTGCAATTTTGGTCGGAAGGTTCTCTGAAATTGATGCTAGCTTCTTGTGATTAATAATTGTAATTTCACTTAAGATGAACACCACGTCTTAAGGGTTGCATGGTTTTTCAAAGGGTTTTCACAGAACTTAATGAGTCTTTCATGTTCAGATTTGATCCGAACGTCTGGACGGGTTGCATGTTGGATATACGTTCTATGTTGGAGGTTCCAAGTAGAATATAAATTAGGAAAACCTAACCTTCAAAGTGGCATGTGCAAATCATAAGTAATTGGTAAACATTCATAGGATTGCTAGGTGATGGTGGAACCCTAGTGCTTTTATAAATTGATATTCAAAACTCTTTCCTTCAATCTATTTGTTTTTGTTTAATATTTGTTTTTAGAATCAACCAACTTCATATTCATCTTTCTCTATTTTTAATTTTAGGTAGTAAATTGGAATATGTTTTTACATAAATTGCTAAATAGTCCTTGAGAAGAACGACCTTGCATGAGCATCTATACTACAATAGCCTTGTATTCTTGCAAGTATTTTATGTGATTTCAACCCTGTTTGCGCAGGTACTAAAAATCCTATCATACAGCAAAAGAAAATTTCATACCCAAGTCTCTTTTTAAAAAACCATAGCGATGTGTGTTATGGCCACTATGTCGAGAGTATGGAGCTTCACCTGCTTCTTCAAATTGGAAACTGTTAGACCACCCCCAATACCCTGACAGTCCCAATGTTCAAATCAATAGTACGTCCATCCTCCGCAAATACCGCCAAGCCATGAGTCCGCGCATCTCAGTCCCTTATCTCCATAGTGAAGGATGCATCATATACTAGATCCCTATCAGTATGTTGTGCAACAAAAACCTCTCCCCCCTCCCCCGGGCAAGTAAACTTGCACCCCAGGCTTATTCCAGAACCTGGCCTCTACACTCCTCCTCCTCCCTCTGCCTTCATAAAGTCTTCGCCATTGTTGTGCAACTTGTACCTGACTAACCCTGTAAATGAGCTGTGTTCCCAACTTCCACACCTCGTCTGCATTCCCCCAGGTTGGAACTCCCTCATCGCTGCTATCCATCAAGCTCAGAGAGCCAGTACACACCCATATGTGCACCGGTGCGCTTTCTCCCCCACACTCCTACCTGCTTCTTTCCAAGTACCAAAACTAGATTGCGGTTGGGTCCTTCTCATCACCGATTTAAGAGGCCTGCCATATATGTCCTCTAAAGCTTCCAGTCCTGCATACGCTCTAAGGGCCTCTACCCCACTATCAGATGCAAGTGCCCCTTTTGTTTTCTCCACGCAGGTGCGGCTAAGATGTCCCAAACAGCCACAAAAGAAGCAATATTCGAGAATGTACTCATAACAAAAATTGATCCACTTTGACCCTTCCTTTGGGAACTCAACAAAGGCGCCTCTCTTAAAGAGCTGCTCAATATCCATCATGACTCGAACCCTTGCAAAACACCATACACAATCTTCCCCATCAACCTGGTCCACTTCTAAAATAGATCCCAAGAGACCTCCAATTTTTTTCATAGCAGCACCCGTCATATTCAAAGGAGAGATCCCGTGCAGTTGTACCCAAAAGACTCCTGTAGTGAGTTTAACCGACCGCACATCATATCGTGTATCTCGATGAGTAAGACTAGGGCATCGCAAAAGGTCAAAGGTTCCATGTCCAAGACCCGAGCCATACCAAGTTGATTTGCAAAGCATACCAGGAATCGCTTCTCAGCAACCTCCTTGATAGACACTTCAGATGACCCCTTCCACAAGCGGGAGAAAACCCCAACAAACCCCAACAAACCCTTCCTTGGGAACTACTTTTCCCATCAAAACCTTTGGTACAAGAGTAAACCGATGCCCCACCAAACAATTCCCAACTTCATCCTCCTCTATATGTACCCCATGTTGTTCTCTGTCTAACAAACGCAAGTTAGCCCCAAACCGTTCCTCAAGTTCCTCCATTATGCCGTAATACCCTTTGCACGTCGTCTCTCGTATCCACTTTTAGTGTCCAGATCTCGTACTAGCACCCTTGTGTTACTCCAGACGGCTATCATGAAACGCACGTAAAGCAGCCGCCAAACCCTAGAGAAACCCTCTTTCCTTTCGAGAAACCCTTCTTTTTCGAACTCACCTATTTTTCAACTTCTATGAAAAATCCAAATTTGAATATAGGTTCATAAATATCCTAGTATTATAAAATAATTATAAACTATGCCATCTACCTTGTCAAATCCCTTATTTTTAACATTTATATTTATTTACTTTGAATTTCGAAACCTATTCTTGGGCACTTATTTTTTGAAGCTGTTTTTTGTGGGTTTAAATACTTAATGGTGGTGCTCCCACAAGATTTGAGCATAAAAAAAAAACGTTTCAACCAAAAATAAATTAATGGACACACACCAATATACATAAATAACCTAATACATATAATAATATTATAGCTAAACAAACAATGATAATATCTACCTAATACAAATTATTTGTATTCCCAAAAAAGTATTGGATCAGGTATTTGTAATGTTGGAAACTTATGGTCATTCCCCAAAAAAAAAAAAAAAAAAAAAAAAAAAAAAAAAAAAAAAAAAACTGACATCTAATACATGATAGGTAAATTGATAAGGACATATTTATGTAGAAAAAATAGGTACATAATTCTTAAACAAAAAATAAATAAAAAATAAGTACATTTACCCTATATTAGATAGGTAAAATATATAGGTAAAATATTTACCTATATGCACCTATATTTTGGATCCGGATCCTCTGCTCTGATTTTCTCTGCCATGATCTGCTTTACTTTTGTTCTCTATACGCCACCTCATTAAAATTTAATCTAACGGATTTAAAAGTTGACACATCATCTTAAAACAAAAACTCAATTTACTCCTAATTAAAAAAGAATAAAAAAAATCCCTAACCCTAACTAACAGTAGTTAACGTCCAGCTTCTCTTTTTTTTTCTTTTTTTTTCTTTTTTTTTAATCTTTTTTTTCTGTTTTCCTTATTTTTTTTTTTTTTTTCCTCCTTATTCACTTCTGTTCTTTTCTTTTCTTTATCTCTTTCTGCCATTTTCTCCTATTTTTCTCTCCTTGCATAAACCATCATGCCATCATCTAGCTAACTAGAGTGCTAAAGAGAAAACAAAAGAATGGATGTAGGAAATAGAATCGAAGAAATATTTATAATCTCCATTAAAAAGACAAAAGGTTTATAATCTTCCCATCAAATACATGACAAACATAAATTTACACATCAATAATAAAAGAAAGAACAGTTGTGTATCTTTGGCAAGCATTCCTATTGATATATTGACCTGTATAAAAAAACAAAGAAAAAACTAGTTAGTATTATACAAATGAAATTTCATAATAAAGGTATTACTGAATGCATAATATACCCCTGATTCCAGATGCCATCTTCAGTTTGATCAACATTTGAAGCTGTATGTGGCTTATCGATCATCAAGTTCTTAGCCTGTATAAGGTAGTTATGAAAATTGATTTTAATAAATAAAAAAACTTACCAGGAATTATAAAAAGGATATCATCAAGGTCATAGCCTTTCTTCCTCCTTTCGAGGGTTGACCGCCTAGTTCTCTTCTGGGGTTGATGCGAGGGTAATAGCTGTATTTGGAGCTGTGATTGAAATTCAACATTTAAGGTAAGATGAATATGAACTTAAATAAAGAGAAAAGGACAGAACCTGAAGCAAGAAGGAGAAGAGGACAAAACCTGAAGCAAGAAGGAGAAGATGACAAAACTGAAGCAAGAAGGAGAAAAAGAGAGAGGACGACAGAACACGAAGAAGAAGAAGAAGAAAAAAGAGTTTTGGACGTTAAACATCCCGTTAGTTGGGTGTTAGAGTTTTTTTATATTCTTTTTTAATTAGGAGTAAATTGAGTTTTTGTTTTAGGATGATGTGTTAACTTTTAAATCCGTTAGATTAAATTTTAATGAGGTGGCGTATAGAGATCAAAAGTAAAGCAGATCATGGCAGAGAAAATCAAAGCAGAGGATCCGGATCCCTATATTTTTCAGGTCCCTAATTTACCTAGATTATATAAGTAAATTATTTACCTATAATTCTTTATGTTCTTCGCTAAGACTATGTATATTAATTTACATATATTTTTTAGTATAATGATTTATTTATATTTAAAAAATACAATTTAAAATAGGTACATAATAATTTTGAATCTAAATAAAGCGTACATTAAACTATAAATGAAATTTGAATTAAAGAGAATTGATAACCATTGATGGAATGAAAATCGAATATACTGCCAAAAAAAAATCACACACCAAAAGACACACAGAGAAATTAAATTGATTGTAAAAGAAACAAATAAAAATATTAAATGTCACCAATTTGGAAAAAAAAATACACAAAATCAGTTGAAAAATAAAGTGAATAATACATAGGGTTTTTCTTATAAAATTCAGGGTTTTATTTATAGAAAAATAACATAATGGGTTGTAGGTAAGAAAAAATAAGTTTCAAGGGGAAAAGATAAATTTACTATATATATTATATGATGGTTTATTAGATGTTCAAGCATGCATCCTATATGGAGGAACTTCTTCTAAAATGAACATGTGACCAATACAAGAACCAAGAGTTTAATGTAGCCATTCATAAAAAAATCTCTCTCTCTCTCTTCTCCATTCGTATTTTTTTTTGCAAAATAATTTTCCCAACCCTGCTATCACAAATTTTAAGTTTCCCAATGCCAAACACCTACCCACTACCAAATTGGTCTCCTTCCTTCTGAACACCTCCGCCTAGTATTTTCAACTTCTTCTTTTTCTTTTATTTATTTACTTATGTTTTTTCTGAATTAATTCCATTTCTCAATGATGCAATGTCAATTTTCGACACATAATTTCCCTTAGCTTGCAGCGATAAATTTACCAAGTTGGACATTTACATTTGTATTTCGTCGACATCGTCCTTCGGGTTTATTGTCGAGGGTGTTGTTCACAGCTTTTCTGTCGAAGGTTTGGTTTTACTTGCTTGTGTCTTATCGTTGGTAAGGAGGATGATTTTTCCAGTGGATAGTATCCAAGAAGTGGTGCGGGAGTTGCACCGTAGAGCGATTGGGAGCAGTTATTGGTGGTTTCTGTACAGGGAGAAAATTCATTTAACACAGTTATTAACGGTTGGGAGCAGTTATTGGTGGTTTATGTGCAAGGAGAAAATTCATTTAAGACAGTTATTAGTGGTTGGTCGAGGATAGGTTCACAGAAGTTGAAGTTAGTTTACTCTCAATTTTGTTTATACTTATTGCTACACAATTATTAGGGTTGAGTAAATCTCAGTGATTCATGTTCTACCCCATATGTGGATCTATGAGCTTGGCTTTATGCCTAATGCCTCTAGTTTTATATCTTCTGTATTTCCGATTTAGATTTAGGATTGATTATCTATTTTTATTGTGTTTCGTCCTTATTCTATTAGTTACTTTACTTTGTTGGGTTTTTTGGTCTTTTTACTTGTTGTCTTGTTTCTTTTTCTTTCTTTTTTTAAAAAAGTTTTCTCAGGTTTTTTTTACATTCAGTTTTGTGTAGTTGTGTTGTTCTTATTTTGTTTTCAGTAGACATTTGCAGGTGGTCAGTTAAGTTCTCATGGTGTGTATGCGTTGTTTCTTTTTCTTTTCTTTTCTTTTCTTTTATTTCCTGTTTTTTTGTTTTTTTTTTTTTTTTTTTTTTTTTTTTTTTTTTTTTTTTTTTTGGGTGGCTTGTTGACTCTGTTTTTTTATTGTTCATTTGTGTTTTTAGTTTATTTGTTTTATCTTTTAGTTTATTTTATTTTATCTTATTTTTCCCTGTTTTTCAGAATTTGTGTTTGTTGTAGACTGCAAGTTTCTGATGTTGTCCAGTAGATTGAAGGGATGCTCAGGCTTCCTCTTCTTTTTTCTCTTTTTTCCCAATTGAGTTGTTCAGGCGCGAGTCTTTTTTACAAAAAGATCACGCATTTATTCTTGTCTCTCATGTTTGGGTTTTAGATAGTATTTGCTGTTTTCAGTGCTATCTTATGTACTCTTATGGTGCTTATTATTTTAATAAAGCATTTATTCCAACCAAAAAAAGAAGAAGCATGCATCCTATATATAGGATTTCTGAGTTGAAGTTCTTAGTTTCTTCTTTTCTTCTTTTATTCTTTGAGTAACTCTTTGGTTTTCTCCCTTAAGGTCTGACCCGTGAGTCCTTTTTCCAGTCGGTAAGTCCCAGGTGAGGCACGCATAGGTGGGCAGGAGACAGAAATTTAGGGAGGGCACTGATAGGTTTCTTTTAGGATAAACAGAGAGAATTAGAAGTCACTATTTACCTTCTTCTTCTTTTTTCCAACCCCATACACTTGAGAAAATATGAGTCGCCTCTTTAGAACAAATTCTTGTAGTTCGAGCAGCTCTAGAACCACTATAGGACGTCTACCTGAGATAGTAAATGAAGAACAATTTGAGTATAATTCTAGTGATGATAATGAGCAATTGGATTTTCGTGATTGGAATATACCTAAAGTGCCTGATAAAAATATATATAAAAAAAAATGGTCTTTGAATGCATTTAATACAACTACACATGTTAAAACTGTAGAACAAGTATATGCTTTAAGTAAAGAACATGAGTCTTGTCAATTACTGAATTTAGATGCAATTAAAAAACATAAGCATGATGGTAATAATTTTCTGCATATTGGTCTTGTACAAGTTGCTGCTAAGCCATTAACACGATTAGGTTTACAAGCTTCTATTCTGTTATGTCTGCGTGATGCTAGATTTATTGTATTTAATGATTCCGTGCTTGGTATGATCGAGTCAAGCCTTTGTAATGGTCCAGTACATTTTGATTGCTATCCTAATTTTACAATTAGTTTGAATGATCCTCATATTCTTAAAACCTTAACCTTGAACATTAAGACTTCTGGTTATAATGTTTTGCCTGGTACCCAGCCTATAGCTTTAATTTATAGAATTTATTATAAAGTTACAGGTACAAATATGAATTTTCAAGCCCTGAATAAGAGTCCTAGAGATCAGACATTATTAATACAAAGCCGTACACCTGATGCCAATATAAGTATTCCCCATACTATTAAATGGTCTGAAATAAATTTACCTAGAGATTGGACATTAGTTACTGAATCCCAACCTGCACCAATACAGCGTAGCTTAAATAATTTAGATTACATACAGCAATATTTAGATGGTACTGTTAAAATTAATTTTGGTAATCAACCTAAGTCTAATGTACAACTACAGCAATTGCCTACACCAAGTCCTTCTAAGCGACATGAGCCTGCTAGAAATTCATCTGCTTCGTCCTCCATACAAGAAAGAGATTTAGAAATTGAACGAGCTCTTATAGACCTAAAATTAGAATCCTTAAGAAAAAAGGCCCAAGTAAGTCATCCTTGTTATAATACTCCGCCTATAAATGAGCCCAAACCTGAGTCTCCCCCTACGTCACCTACTCAATCTGATTTCTTAGCAAGTGAATTAGCTGCAGCCCATGCGTATGGTCTAGATAATCAGTTAAAAGTCCTTAAACGAGTTGAGAAATTTAAAATTGATTGGAAGGCCCTAGATAAGCATCTGCATGATCCCATTAACCAGCCTAGAAGAGCTTTATATCATCAACTAGTCCCTGATGCATGTAAAAGACAAGAAATATTTGCTGAATGGAAACAATATATGCGATCTGAATATAAAGAAATATTTTATCTTGATTTTATAGAAAGCCGTTACAGTCCTACTGAATTGAAAACTATAACTAAAGAAAGATGGATGAAATTAGATCAGTCTGAAGTAATATCTAGTCACCCCCCTGCAGAAACAATTAAGATTAAACATGGATCTAGGAATGTCATTGCAAGCCCGTTTAAGTTAACAGATCCAAATGATGAGCCCAATAAACGCCTTATAGAACAGAATAACTATACAAATCAGAGTCTCATTACTATAGGAAAACAGCTAGATAAAATTGAAACCAAACTTGATAAATCCTTGCCTATTGAGTCTACTATAAAGTTTGCAGAAAAACCCCCTGGTTCAATTTCAAGATTTACAGCCTAAGTTTGCCCTTAAGACATCCTCTACAATTGACAAAATAGAAGAAATGCTTAAGCAGTTAAAAACTGAACAACCTGAAAAATCTGGAGTTAAAGTTTTAGGGTCACCCGTCCCTTTGAACACACAGTCAGAAACTAAGTATGAATCAAATACAGAATCTGTTGAGTCTAGTGATATCTCTAAAATTGAGAATCCGTTTAAAAACCAAGAATTAGAATCTGAGCTAAAGGTCAAGAATTCAAATACAGAATCTGTTGAGTCTAGTGATATCTCTAAAATTGAGAATCCGTTTAAAAACCAAGAATTAGAATCTGAGCTAAAGGTCAAGAAATTAACTAATCCTACTAGCCTAACCAGAAATTGGTATCCTAAGCCTACACCACCTGATATTCAATTTGAAGAAAGAAATAATCTGAGTCAATTTTCTGTTTCTTCTGATAAATTATATGAATGGAACATAGATGGCCTGTCTGAGCAAGAAATTATGAATAAATTAACCCACATGTCTATGGTTGCTAATAGTTACAGTACTAATCATAATCTAAGACAATCTGAGATAATTCCCCTGTTAGAAACCGGCTTTACAGGAACCTTGAGATCATGGTGGGATAAGCATTTAACTGATGAATCCCGAAATAATATTATACATGCAGTAAAATTAGATGCTGAAGGTCTGCCTTTGTTTAATGAAAATATAGGTCAAGGTATAGAAGACAGTGTTAATACTTTGCTTTATACAATAATTGAGCATTTTATAGGAACTCCGAGTCATACACAGTCTAGAATACATGATCAACTGAGTAATTTGAGATGTCCGCAATTAAGTGATTTTAGGTGGTATAAAGATGTTTTTATTTCCCGTGTAATGCTAAGAGAAGACAGTAATCAAGCCTTTTGGAAAGAAAAGTTTATAAATGGATTGCCTAATTTGTTTGCTCATAAAATTAGAACTGTATTAAGTAATGAATTAGGACATATAGATTATGATAATCTGACTTATGGTAATATAATTAGTACAATTAATCAAGAAGGTATGAAAATGTGCATTGATATGAAAATAAATAAACAAATACAGTCTGAAAGAAAATCTGCAAGATATGAGTTAGGTAGTTTTTGTGAGCAATATGGTTTGTATACTCCTCCTTCTAGAAAAAATAAGATTAAATCTCCCAGTCACCTGCGTAAAAAACGACATTATAAGCGTAAAAGACATTTTACTGAATCTAATGATGAGTTTTATAAGAAAAAGTCCCGCTTTAAGAAAAGATGGTCAGATAAGCCTAAAAGAAAGACTAAAAGAAGCTTTAAGAAAAGAACCGACATGAGTAAAGTTAAATGTTTTAAATGTCAAAAGTTTGGTCATTATGCTAATAAGTGTAAAGTTAAAGATACAATTAAACAATTACAGATCACGGAAGCGGATAAAGACAAATTAATCAAAGTTCTTGAGTTAAGAGATTCTGAGTCTGAAAATATAACTATGATTAGTAATTCTGAGTCTGATTCTGAGTCTTTTGAATCCTACATGAGTTCACCCAATATTCAATTAGGATGCAAAGATAAATGTTGTAATACCCTTAAGTCTATTTCTGTGTTAACTAAACAAGAAGAACAAGAAGAATTGTTAATTGAATTGATTGGTAAAATAGAACACCCTGAGTTGAAGTCTGAGTATTTAAAGAAATTAAGAAAAATTATAGGCCATACAAATACAGCCCAACCTTCTTCTGTTATAAGTTTAAATTCTACATTAGAAAGGTTTAATAAGAAAAAAGACATTACTTTGTATGATCTACACTTTGAGGTAAAGACCGTGAAAAAAGAAATAATTGAATTACGACAATTAAGTCATAAATTACAAGCTGAGAATTATGATATCCGACAAAGTTTGAATTCTCTATTAGAAAATGAATTGGTTAAATCTGATAGTCAGCCAGGTAGCCCTACCCATTCTGAAGAAAATAAGAAAACTGATCACATTATTAGTTTAATTAATCATATTCCTTTTAGAAAATGGTATTCTAAAATTACTATAGTTATTAAAGATTTTGAGCTTGATACTATTGCCTTGTTTGATTCTGGTGCTGATTTGAACTGCATAAAAGAAGGATTGGTTCCTACTAAATATTATACAAAATCAACTGAATCTTTAAGTACTGCTTCTGGTAAAATGCTACACCTGAATTATGAGATTCCTAAAGCCCATGTCTGCCAAAATAAAGTGTGTTTTAAAACTTCGTTTGTTTTAATCAAAAATATAACTGATAAAGTAATCTTAGGTTTACCTTTTATAAGTCTTTTATATCCTCTACAAGTTGAATTTGATGGAGTTGTTGCCTGTCCTTTAGGTGAAAAGATTAAGTTTGAATTTCTTACTCGATCTGAATTACATGAGTTAAAGACTGCAAAGAAAAGTATTACATCTATAGCATCATCTTTGATTCTTGATAAAACTAATCAAATTAAACATTTACAGGACGAAGTTAAAAATAAGTGAATTGAGTCTCAATTAAGTTCACCTTCAATGCAAATACAGATTAAGGATTTTGAAAATAAATTGGTTACTGATGTATGTTCTGATCTGCCTACTGCTTTTTGGCATAGAAAGAATCATATTGTAAGTTTGCCTTATATACAGAATTTTTCTGAGAAAAATATACCTACTAAAGCTCGTCCTATCCAAATGAGTCCTGAAATGTTAGAATTTTGTAAAAATGAAATAAATGATTTATTACAGAAGAATATAATTAGACGCAGTAAGTCTCCCTGGTCTTGTTCTGCTTTTTATGTACAGAAGAATGCAGAGTTAGAACGAGGATCTCCTCGATTAGTTATTAATTATAAGCCTCTTAATACTGTTCTTGAATGGATTAGATATCCTATACCTAATAAGAGAGATTTGATTAATCGCCTGAGTAAAGCTATTATATTTTCTAAATTTGACTTGAAAAGTGGATTTTGGCAAATCCAGATTGCTGAGTCTGATCGATATAAAACTGCTTTTGTCACTCCCTTTGGTCATTATGAATGGAATGTTATGCCTTTTGGTCTAAAGAATGCTCCTAGTGAATTTCAGAATATAATGAATGAAATTTTTAATTCTTATAGCCAATTTGCTATTGTTTACATTGATGATGTTCTTATATTCTCTGAGTCTATTGAGCAGCATTGGAAACACTTATATAAATTCTTGCATGTCATAAAAGCCAATGGATTAGTTGTTTCTGCTAAGAAGATTAAGTTGTTCCAAATGCACATTAGATTTCTTGGATTTAATATAAGTCAATCACAAATACAGCCTATAGATAGATCCATACAATTTGCAGACAAATTTCCTGATCAAATTATAGATAAGAATCAATTACAGAGATTTTTAGGATCACTCAATTATATTTCTGATTTTTATAAGAATCTGAGAAAACAATGTAAGCCCCTATTTGATAGATTACAGACTAATCCTCCTCCTTGGTCTTCTGTTCATACTGAGCTTGTTAAACAGATTAAAAGTCATGTTAAGACACTCCCTTGTCTTGGCATTCCTACTACAAGTTCTTTTAAAATTGTTGAGACTGATGCTTCTGATATAGGATATGGTGGTATTCTTAAGCAACAAATTACTCCCACTTCTTCTGAGCAAATTGTTCGGTTCTATTCTGGTACATGGTCGAAGTCGCAGTATAATTACAGTACTATTAAAAAAGAAATTCTAGCTATTGTATTATGCATTACTAAATTTCAAGATGATTTATTAAATCAAAAATTCCTTGTTCGTGTTGATTGCAAATCCGCTAAACATGTTCTTGAAAAAGACGTTCAAAACATTGCATCAAAACAGATTTTTGCACGATGGCAGGCACTTTTGAGCATATTTGATTTTGATATTGAATTTATTAAAGGCAGTGAGAATTCTATTCCTGATTTTCTTACCCGAGAGTTTTTACAGGACAATTATGGCCGGAAGAAAAATGAAACAAAAGGATAAGCATAAAGAACAGCACATTCTGAGCCCCCAATTACCCAGGATCCTCCCTGCAACCTTGAGCCAATATCCTGTTCCACATGAGTCTGCATCTTCTTCTTTTCCCAAACTTGAGCCTGCATCTATTACACCTTATCCTGGTTTGTCCCCCATTCCTGTAAATAATAAATTTAATCCTTTAGGATCCACCCTGAGCCAAATAAGACCTAACTACCAGTCTGCACTTACATCCAGCTATGATCCTTATCCTTTGCCCCCAAATGCAAGCCCTCTATCTTCTTCTACATTTAGACCTAAGTCTTCTCCTTATGTATCTAAATGTACTACTAATTTATTTGTTCTTGAACCCCATATCACTGCATCTATGAGTCCTGCTGCAATAGCTTTAAATCATTTTCCTCCTGGTTTCCATTTCCTTCCCCATAGTCCTTATAAGTCCTTAAAATATTACAGAGAAATTCTTCATGAAACAAAATCTGTCGATATTAAGCCTATACGAGATAAAGTTGATCCCCAGAAAATAATCTACCACTCCTTGTACATTTATCAAGTCCTGAGTCAAAAGAGTTGGGGTCCTCACCCCTATGCATTAAGATCCCTTCCTTCCAAGCTCCAATATAATTATGCAGATTATGTTGAGTCCTTCTATTATATTTTCCTTCATCAAACCCCTGAATTTTCACATTCCTGGTTTATAAATTTTGATAATAAATTTAAATATGATCAGCTTCCCTACTGGTTTCTTCACTGGTGGGATACTCATGGTCCTGTCTCTGAAATTATCCCCTCTGCAGTCACTGAGCTTATTACTACATTCTCTGCTCGAGTTAAGCTTCTTGAGCGTGATCTATTTTTTCCTATACCCTTGTTATTCTTTACCCGTTACAAGGTTCCCTGGATTATGAAATGGAATTATCATACAGATTGGGAGAAGAGATTCTTTTCCCGACATTTTTTTGTTAAATGGTGGGATCGTTTTGAAGTCCACCGTATATCTGAATATTTCTACAGAGATTTCCCGGCACTACCTCCTAAGCCTGAGCCTAAGCCTAAGCCTTCTTCTTCTCAGTCTTCCCAAATTTCTACTGAAGGAAAATCTAGAGTTGAATTACGTGATCTGGCTAAGCAGTTGCTTCTGCAGGCTGAAGAAATGCAAGATGATGATGAAGACAATGAATCTGAGTCCTCCTCCAGCTGCCAGCCTCGGCCTCATAGCCCCAGTCCTGATCGCCCAATGAGATGGTCTGACTATCCCCATGGTCAAGACCCTAATGAAGCCTATTCTGCCTATGATCTGAATTCAGACTGAGTGAAAGTGAAAGCAACTGAGTGAAAGTGAAAGCATCTGAGTTAAAGTGAAAGCATCTGAGTAAAAGTAAAAGCAACTGCGTGAAAGTAAAAGCATCTGAGTGAAAGTGAAAGCATCTGAGTTAAAGTAAAAGCATCTGAGTTAAAGTAAAAGCATCTGAGTAAAAGCATAAGTAAAAGTTCCCTGTAATTATTGTACTCGAGTTTGTTTACCTAAGTTACTTTAATTTACTAGAGTTAAGTCTTTCTTTATAAGGAGGCTTCTGCCTCAGTTGAAGTCAGAATGTAAAAATTTAGTTTTCTCAGTTTCAAATTGTTCTCTCAGAAAGATTGATCTGAAGAACATCTGAGTGTGAGCGAAACTAGGAGAGCTATCTTTTGTAAGCATTCTCATAAGCCTATGTCTTTATAAAATTTTGAGTAATTTCAAATTATATCATTATGTTCATACATTCATTATTTTTTATACATTCAATATTTGTTTATTCTTTAATAATATATATATATATATATATATATATGTATATCAAGCTGATTGGAGACGAAGCCGAACTTGCTTCTGCTTTCTGTAAACAAGAAATCTCTTGGAACTCATGACCTCTCAGCCAAAAAGTTTTAAGAAAAAATTGAAAGGAGACTTTGGAGGCCTATCTGAAGAGCAACCCTAGCTAGCTTGACAACCAAAACAACAGAAGAAGCACGATCAGAGAGATACAAGACAGGCTTCCTTCTATTCTACGCGCGAAGATGCATGCAAACCCCTCGTCCCCCGATGCCGGTTGCTCCAACCCAAACAAGAATCCCAGAGAAATTACTCTTCTTGAAGGGTTACAAAGTAAAGTGATGGCATGGCAGCAAGCAATAGTTAATACTTACAAACAAAGTCCCAAATCACTCACTGAAAAAGAAAAATTAAAAAGAAAAAAAGGGATCCAGAAATCAGCTCCACCCGCATTCACCGCACGAATTTTAGTCTCCACCAAGCATTGGCCCGCTAATAGTATTATTATCAAAAGAAATAGTTGCATAAATCTCGCAGGGGTATTTAAACAAGCCTCAACATGCTCTTCTTTGATCATACACTCGCTTTGGAGAGCTTTTCTGGTAATTCTAAATCATCACTTGGATTATATTATTTTTCTGTTGTTTCAACTTGTGCAATTAGTTTGAATATTTTAAGTTTAAATGGGTTTTGTTTATGGAACTGACAATTGGTCAGATCGCATGAAGTTATTATTTTTCTTTTCGTTCTATATCTATGCTTGATCACTCATCCATTGTCGTAATGTGAATTAAGCTACTTCTCCATGGATCTGTTCAATTTATTATTATTGGGGATTTCTGTAAGCAACTTCGGTTTCTTTGTCCATGTATGGATCTACAGTTTTTTTTTTTTTTTTTTTTTTTTTTGTTTTCTAGTTTAAGCAATGTTTGTTTCAATAATAATTTTTTCCAGGAGGATGTTCTTGAAATTATTGAGGCTAAAAGTCTTGGTTTAGGAACAGGGTGTGGCCATAAATCTCTAGTCTATGGATCCGGGGAAAAAGGGTTTGGTTAAACCATGATTCAGTGTAGGGTTAGAAACTTCGAAATTGAACAATATTCCATTTTCATAAATTGTAGGATCAAACTGAAATTTACTGTGACTATTTTTTTTGGGGCACTTCGAACATCACCTCCTGCACTCCTCTACCACCCTCGCATGAGGAGTGTATGAGGTCATTTAAGGGTGATTTTGGAGTGCCACAAAATCATTATATGTGTGTGTGTGTGTGTGTACATATATATAATATGGACCTAATTTTATGTGTATGTATATATGGCAGGCATATAGAGTAGTGGAACATACGTAGGAAAATGGTAAAGATCTGCTGCATTGGAGCTGGATATGTTGGAGGTCCTACAATGGCAGTGATTGCCCTCAAGTGCCCATCTGTTGAAGTGGCCGTTGTCGATATCTGGGACAAACGGATTGCAGCTTGGAACAGCGACCAGCTTCCCATTTATGAGCCTGGCCTTGATGATGTGGTGAAGCAATGCCGAGGCAAGAACCTCTTCTTCAGCACTGATGTCAAGAAGCACATCATGGAAGCCGATATAGTCTTCGTCTCCGTCAACACCCCCACGAAAACCACAGGCCTCGGTGCAGGCAAAGCCGCAGATTTGACATACTGGGAGAGCGCTGCTCGAATGATTGCCGATGTCTCCGAGTCTAGCAAAGTTGTTGTTGAAAAATCGACTGTTCCAGTTAAGACGGCTGAGGCAATAGAAAAGATTTTGAGCCACAACGGCAAGGGGATCAAGTTCCAAATCCTCTCGAACCCCGAATTCCTTGCGGAGGGAACGGCAATTCAAGATCTCTTTAACCCGGACCGCGTGCTCATTGGCGGCAGGGAAACCCCTGAAGGCCAGAAGGCCATCCAAGCATTGAAGGATGTTTATGCGCATTGGGTGCCCGAAGACCAAATCATAACCACCAATCTTTGGTCTGCGGAGCTGTCGAAGCTCGCTGCCAACGCGTTCTTGGCGCAGAGAATATCGTCCGTCAACGCCATGTCTGCCCTTTGTGAGGCTACCGGGGCCAATGTTTCGCAGGTGTCACATGCCGTTGGCAAGGACACCCGGATAGGCCCCAAGTTCCTCAACAGTAGTGTCGGTTTTGGGGGGTCCTGCTTCCAGAAGGACATCCTGAATCTTGTCTACATCTGTGAATGCAATGGCCTCCCGGAGGTGGCAGAGTACTGGAGACAGGTTGTGAAGATCAACGACTACCAGAAGAGTCGATTTGTGAACCGTGTAGTCGCTTCCATGTTTAACACCGTGTCGACGAAGAAGATTGCCATACTAGGGTTTGCCTTCAAGAAAGATACAGGTGACACAAGGGAGACCCCAGCAATTGATGTGTGCAAAGGTTTGTTGGTGGACAAGGCCGAGCTTAGCATATATGACCCTCAAGTCACTCAGGACCAGATCCAAAGAGACCTCACTTTGAGAAAGTTTGATTGGGACCATCCAATTCACCTACAACCCGTGAATCCGACCAGTTGCTTTAATGTGGATCAAGTGAAAGTTGTCCGGGACGCATACGAGGCGACGAAGGGCGCCCATGGGATTTGCATTCTGACTGAGTGGGATGAGTTCAAGAGCCTTGATTACAACAAGATTTATGAGAACATGCAGAAACCGGCATTCATATTTGATGGTAGATATGTTATTGATGCAGACAAGCTGCGTGAGATTGGCTTCATTGTCTTCTCAATTGGTAAGCCCTTGGATGCATGGCTCAAGGACATGCCTGCTGTGGTTTAAGACTAAACTGCTCATCGTGCTTCCATCAAAGTCGCCCCACCCGGGGGCGGCGGTAAGTTTTGATTCGGGTTCTTGTATTTGCTGTTCTGATTTTGTTATTGGAGATTCACAATTTGAAATCAATAAGTATTATAAAGTTATTGGAGATCCATTAATTCATGCATTCCCTCCAAGATTGTAGCCTAAAGGCAGCTCATGAGTTCTTAGTTACCTTCATTTGCTAGGCTTAATAATGAGGATTTCACTAATAAACCCATTTTAGCATGACATAATATACACTATTTGGAGTGAAAAACCTAAAATTAGCCACTAGTCATTTTCTAGTTTTGGGGTTTTCTCTCCAAATAAGCTCTATATGAGTTTTTATATAATATGTCATGCTAAATGATTTTTTGAATAAATATCTATTAAAAATCTTCCGCACGTGCATGACTAATAGAAAAAACTGAACCTTGAACCCTAAACCCTTTGCTTCATCCATTGGTTATACTACTACTTGGTTCAAGGAATCGACAGATTTCCTTACTGATATTTTGTATGAGGATTGTAATAAATAGTAGTTTTTACGGGCATGATCTTAGGGGAGAGGGGGGGGCCACTCTACCCAAGGCAAGGTTCCTTCTATTGCTTGCGGTTTGAGAGGGTAGGTTACTTCATAACCGAAGACCAAAACGCCCATTGGGTGTAGAGATACTCGCCTAATCCTCTAAAATATAGCATGCTTTTTGTGCTTATTCCATTCTTCCTCCTAAATAAAATGATATCACTTTTAAAAAAAAATTAAAAATAAAAAAAAAAAAAGAGGCTGTGAAAAGGAAAAGGAAAAGGCATACTACATGTGCATCTAATTACATAAGAAAAAGAAACGTTTTGATAATTTTGTCCATTTCGTACTGAAACATTGGTTTTCCTACCACTTGCATATCTTCATTAGCATGCTGGTTAAATGGATAAACTATGCTTTAACCCATAACGTGACACTAACTGGACCCACTTGCCACTTGGACTCACTAATATTTTGCCAGGAGAGGTAGATTTTTATAATGAATTAATTTTATAATCTGTTATTATTTACTTTGTCCACTAACACGACACATATGAATAAGTCAACATGGGTCCATTTATTATTATGTCATGAGTTAAGACAGGCAAACAAATGGAGGTATAAAAGTGATATGAAAATTAATGTTTTTTTTATAGTATAAGTAATAGTCTAAATTACAGGATATAGGGGTTTCACACACACGCACACAATTAAAATGTCATGGGATTCAAACTTGACACCTCTAGTTTACAAGTCAATACCCTTTTTTATTATATTAGACCCTATTGGCTATGAAATACAAAATTAATAATAAAAAAAACAATATTAAACCTCTTTAAACTTTTTACGAAAATTTTCCTTATAATTGGATAATTGGACCTAAAGCACAGTTTAGGCACTTGTGGTTGAGTTGGTTTGTTTGGTTCTTGATGATAAAGCCCGTATGGATGGGCCTTGATTGATTTGGTTTTTACTTTGATTATTTCGGGCCTTTTATAGGGAATATGTTTACCTATTTCTAGGCATGGGCCTGGTATGGTACGGTATGATATTGACCACTTCCCGATCAAGGTACCTGAATTTGTAAATAGTACGGGATTGGCATTTGCAGTGATTGATATCAGACCATACCAGAGCCGATCAGTTCC